CTAACACTCACAGACCAGGGTCAGAGACTCTCTGCGGCTGGCCCTGCTGGTGTCTGCACCATGGGAAACATGTATCTCAGGCTGCTGCCAGGTAGGTAGCGTTATAACAATGGCAATGGGTGACTCTCTAGGAGTTTTAAAGCTTCCTGGGAACTCTGTATCTAGTTTGAGAATTTTCTCTGTTCTTTGTTCTGTAATTTTGGGTTTCCCAACGATCTCTATAAAGGAAAGCAGGGAAGAAATTTGAAGACGGATATTAACTCAATTATACTAAATGTTGAAAGGAAAAAGTCCGTGAAACTTATTCCTGGGGTGAACTTGGGGCCTTAACAGAGATTTCTCATTTTACCACCAGATTCCCTAGAGAAACAGAATATACAGCAGGTCCTGGAATAACATCATTTTGTTCAATGTCATTTCATTATAACATTGATGAGATGCAATGGGAAACTAACTTTTGTTTACAGCAGTTAGTCTGTGGTAAAACTGGTTTTGTTCTTTGTCAATTTGCCTTAGTTACAAGAACCTATCACTAACCTTAAGTAAGGACTTACTGTATCTATTATATTAAGAAATGCATTTATGAAATAGCGGAGACTGGGAAAGGCAAATGTTGTGGGGCAGGCTGGCAGGCTGGAATCGCAGGGGAGGCTTCATGTTGCATCCCAAGTTCAAAGGCAGTTTGGAGGTAGAATTTCCTTTATTTTGAAGGAGGTCAGTCTTTTTTCTCGCATAAGTCTTCAACTGATTAGACATGGCCCACCCAGATTATGGAAGGTCATCTGCTTTACTCAAAGACTACAGATTTTAAAGTTAATCTCATGAAGAAACACCTTCCGAGCACCAACTAGGTTAGGTTTCACTAAACATCTGGGCATTGAGATCTAGCCAAATTGATACATAAAATTAACTGTAATACAACCTGTTTTTTCTGAAGTGTACATTGCCAGACTTTCTGAAAAACTCTAATTTGATAAAATACACATTGTTGTTTAGTCTATAGAATTTGTGTGGGCCATGGAATGATTTGAAGGATAACAACAGTGATATAGTAAAAACTGATATTATCAAGGTCACCTTTATTTTGATTAACAATTGAAATGAAAATATCCACATTTCTTATGTGTTGGGTGGAACATGAATTTTTTTTTTAAAGCTGGACCCATTTTGGAGGGTTCATTGTACCAACTGCAGTGGATATTTAAAGGAAATGGAAAACAAACCCTGGCTGGTGTGGCTCAGTTGGTTGGAGGGTCACCCATAACTGAAATGTTGTGGGTTCGAATCCCAGTCAGGGCACACACCTAGGCTGTGGGTCCCATCCCCCATTTGGGTGGGAACCCTGGTCCGGGCACATATGGGAGGCAACCAATCAATGTTTTTCTCTTGTGTTGATGTTTCTCTATCTCCCATCTCTCCCTGAAAGCAATGACAAAATGTCTTGTGTAAGGATAAAAAAATTAAATGGAAAACAAGCTTAGTTTCTTCAAGGTATTAACACTTTTAGGGGTGCACGTATTCATGTAATATACTCAGAAGAGCAAATGACTTTGTTCATACACCAGGGACATTAAGACTCATTTATCCCGCTTTGGCTGCCACACGTTAGAAAACAGAGGTGTAGCTGATGGGGCATTTGGGCAAGGAAAGCCTAGACAGCTCTCCCGAGGGGTGGCCCCACGCTGGCCCTTGGACTTAGGCGGCCGGGCCCAGAGCCTGGCTCTCATCACCTCGCCCAGAGCTACAAGAGAAGAGGAGCATGTCGTGGGCCAGGGGGGACTGAGGAAGTCTGCTCTCTGACCCCTGGGAGAACCAAGTGAGCGTGTAACTCTGCCTGACCTTGGATCTGACCTGGACACAGGTGTGTCTCAGGTAACAGGAAGGGAAAAGCAGGGACAGAAAGGAACCCTGCTCTTCATTTTCTTCCTTTACTCTTTCCCTTACCTGACTTCCATTGACTGCTTATTTTGTGCCAGGCTCTGTGCTAGCCCTTTACTAGTCTTCACTGATGTGCAGTCACAATAATGCCCATCCTGTTATGATGAGCCCTGTACCCATTCTGCATTGAGAAATTGTGGTTCAGAGAACAGGTGGCAATTGGAAAGCCGCACAGCCACCGGGTGGAAGTTTGGGACGCAGCCTTGGGCATGTCCGACTCCGAATTTGTCTCCCCGAGTGTCCTCTGTCAACTTACACAGTGTTGAACACAGTGGCAGTACAGCCCGGGAGAGGAATTCGTCTTTGTCTCTGCCTGAGAAGACAGACTGTGTACAGGGGCACACAGACAGGGAGATGTTTTTAGGGTTCATGGCTCACGGGGATGGGCTGGTAGACCCTAACAGGTAGACTCATTACTGCCTGTCTCGTAGACTGTATTCCTCAGTACCCATGGTAATTTAGATGCCACAAGGCCGCTCAGTGCTTCATTCTCAGGGCAATGAGGGTAAAAGGTAAAAGGCTGAGCCCTCAGTACACGACAGGGAGGCCAGGAGCTCGTTTGGAAGGAGGCACAGAAGGCACAGCTCTCTAACTGGAGAGACTTCTTACCCAGGAGACAGAGTCTCTACCCACAGGTGCCTTGGTTCTCACTCCTCACTCTCATCAGCGCCCGTCCCTTGACCCAAGGCTCTGATCCCTGTGGACATTGTGAGCTAGGGCGCAGGCTGTGGGATTTCCCACTCCGAAATCTGCTGTTCTTGTATTCTGTGAAGGGGTAGCATGAACAGGGGAAATGATCCCTGAAGACAAATTCTCAGATGAGCACCGTTGCCAGAGAACAAGAAGCCGGGTCTGGGGAAAGGGACTCCAATCCGAGCACTTTCTCCTTTAAGGTGCACCCCTCCCCTGGGAGAGGTTGGGGTTTCTAAGATGTGTCCCTGTCATCAGCTGTGAGTATGTTCTGTCCCCTTACCTGTGGCACCTCAGGTTCCGTGAGGACTGTGTCTGTTGGTGACTGCCAGCTCGGGCAGCCCCCGGAGATGGAGGGCAAAGACCGAGCCCTGAGTTCTCAGTGAAGAACAGCGGCCTGGGGATACGCCGCAAGCTGTGGGCCGCAGCGCCAGGGCCACGGGCGCCGGGGGCAGTGGCCATGTGGATAGGGGTTGAAACTGGGGCTCGACTCTGCTCTCTGTTTTCTCCGCCCCAGGACTCTCAGTGCTGCTGTTGTTGACATTCAGAGCTGCAGACGAGGCCCCGGGAGGTGAGTCTGCCCAGCCGTCCCCATTAGTGACGTGAGATTGGAGTCGTACTGGGGTCTGGGGCCTCTCACCAATCAGTGGTGGAAAGGGGGCTTATTCTGCAAGTGAGGCTCAGAAAAGTCCTCTAAAAATGAGGAGAGCTCTTTTTCCACCTAAATGTGCAGGGTTTTCTGAGCTCTTCCTCTTCTGATAGCAGCCAAGCCTTCCTTCCCTTCCTGCCTCTACCCTTGGACCCCCACTGGCGCCCTGCATTACTTGGGCCTTCTGACCGTGGTCTGCCTCCCCACAGCCCCTGCCCCCACGGCCTGTGCTCCGTGGTGCCCCCCGCAGTCCACGTGTGTCAACGCCACTGCCTGTCGCTGTCTTCAGGGGTCCAGCTCTTCATCTGGGGAGATCGTCACCAGCCCCTCGGAGAGATGCGACGGTAGAGAGGCTTAGGAGGGTGGAGGGCATACAGAGATTGTGGGGGAGGTTGTGGGGCACCCCGATCCGTCATCCCTGAGAGCAGCACAGGAGCACTTTGTCAGGGATAAGGGAGAGGAGGCAGGGCCGGGAAGGAGGAGGGAAGTGGACTCCCAGGTTTCGTGATCAGTAGGTGGAGCGCTGAGAGCTTGCCCAGAGCAGCTGGGTGGTGTGGGTTCAAAACCGAGCTCCGCCACTGACTGGCTCTCTGACACTAATGCAATAATGTCTCCTCTCTTCGCCTCAGTTTGCTTGTCTGTAATTGGGGGTAATCACTGTAGGTACCTCACATAAATGGACTGAGATTTATACATTACCTTTGTGAGAAAAGGTAAAGACTACTACGGAGCTAATGTCAACAAATGGTAGCTATTATTACTGTTACTGTTACTATTATTTTCATTGCCTGAAGAAAGAGGCAAAATAATGGGAGCAACAGGAGGAAAGAAACACCCAGAGCTGGAACCTCAGGCTCCCCTACCAGCTCGCGCTTCCCTGGAGCCCTGCCCGCCCACGACACGGCCCCCACCGCAGAGTCACGGCAGCCCGTGAGGGCGGCAGAACTCGGATGGTTTCTTAAAGGATCAAATCTGGGCCCAAAGACAGTGAGCGACTTGTGGAAAATCCCACAAGAAATAAAGTGGTAGAATCTAAGACCTAAATCTAACAAGTTTTTAGTCTTTAACCAAGGAGGATCATAAAATGAAAGTATAGTACCTAAAAATGATTGAGACAGTAAATTTCATGTCATGTATTTTACCACAATTAAAAAACGGGAAAAAAGGATGTTATAGAGGCAATGGTCTTGATCAACACAAAATTTGTCTGAGATGTATACTTATTTAGAATAAAGAGTGCTCCTTATATGTTTGTGAGGAAAAGAAAAATACCTCCAAACATTCTGTAGTCTGTGCAGTGGTCTTATGGGTGAGTTTTGGTTCCCTCTTTTATCATTTTTGTCTTGTGTCCTAAGTATCATGTGTTATGTTACATTTGGAGAAAGGTGGATTTTGTCAGAGCAAATGAAAAGATGGGGCTGTGACCTGGGCCCGGCCCACCCCGGGCCCTGGGGGGTTGCTGGTCCTTCGTGCCTCCGCAGGTGGGTGTCTGGTGGAGATCTGCAGGCGGGGTGCACGAGGGAGAGGCCCTGCGGCTCCGGTACCTGCGTCCCAGCCCCGAGCCGGGAGCCCCCCTGCCAGGCTGGGATTCCCCTTTGGCAAGTCCTCTCCTTGTGCTCCCCTCATTCCCAGCTCTCCCCCATTCGACGCCACCGCGTCCGCTCAAATTCGAAGGCAGGTCTCTAGCCACTGTCCCCATCTGAGACGGGGTAGAGAGGCCCCGATGCGCAGGCAGGGCATGAACACGGGTGCCTCCTGTCCCGTGCTGGCTGCCGACAGCCACAGCCCGGGCTGGGGGACTTGGAAGGGGAACCCACAGGTGTGGAGAGGGGAGCCTGATGTCGGGGAGACCCGCTCCCTGACTCATGACACCGTCCTAGAGTCCTTTCAGGCGCCAACGTCTTTGGTTACCTGTAGGAATGTATACGACCTACCATTTTGACTCAGCGTTTAGATTCATTCTTGTGTATGGGGTTCTTACTGAGTCATTGTTTTCAGCCAGCAGAGTCCTGCCCCTGCTCACTGGGTCCCTGAGCTACTCAAAGGGGACCTGGGCCATTGGCATCTCTCTCTCTCTCGCTTGTGTTTAGAGAACAAGGAGATAAGATGACAGGAAACACTGCAGTGACTCAGCTGTGATAACTTCCTCATTTCACATCTCTGATGGGCTCTGATGGGGGGACTTTCTTTAAGGCTGGAGAAGGAAGTCTCCCCCTGAAACACCCCAGGGCATCTGCAGAGGGGCTGACATTGGGAGCTGGGGGAGAGCCTGACGAGGGGGGTGGGGCGCACTGGCCTCCCTGTGTAACGGCAGGTGGAGGCCTCAATGGGCAGGGGCCTGACACCGGCTCCACCCTCAGCTGTGAAGGATGATGTCACCCCGACGGCCCCCAGCCACGACTCCCTCCTTGACCACAGCCCTTAGGGTGGCCTTCACTGCTACACTCACCCTGCCTGGAGGCCACCCCCAGGTCCCCAGTGGTGCAAACAGCACCACATGGAGAGTGTGGGGCTGAGTCAGTGCCTCCGTCTACCCCCCAGGGCTTGGAAAGGGGTGGCAGCCCCCCTTCCAGCCACATCTGGACATAGCAGAGTGTGTGAGTCCGGGGGTCCCCAGAGGAGCCAGACGGCTAGAGGAGCAGGGAGGCCAGCGGGTTCGGCAGCGGGCTCGGCCCAAACAACACCGTCTGTGAAGGTTTGGAGTTCAGATCCGATACACACTTTGAAAATCCACAAGTGAAACCATCTGATCACATGCTCAGCGGCACCCACAGGAACCCAGCAGAATGAAAGCTGGGAGTGCCCTGCTGTGCCAGGCGTTAGCTCTTTTGAGGCTAAATGGGAAAAGACATGGGAGGTCCTGAGGAAGGAGTTGGAGTATCAAGGGGAGGTTCCCGGGGAAGCCAGGCAGCAGCCAATCACTAACTGGGACGAAGGTACTTCAATATCTCACAACGCATACATCAGTGTTGGGCTCACCTGCTACGTGTCAGGCCTCTGCACACTTCCTGTAACACCTGCATCCACCACTCAGGGATGTGCAGTCACCAGGTGTCATCACCTCCAGCCAAGGGGTGGGGTCGGGGGCACTATCACCGGGAAGGGGGCGGGGCACGGAGAGGAGAGGGGCCTGATCAGGCTGGGACAGGCAGGGCCTGATTCCCTCCTTCATGTCCCCAGATGGGAACTTGTGCAGCGCTTGGAAGCATCTGTGTGACAACTCCACCTTCTGTGTCAGCGCTCAGGGCTCATACACATGCCACTGCCTCAGAGGCTTGGTGCCCAAACCGGGGTTTCTGAATAAACAAAGGACTACCCAATGCGAAGGTACCTGGCCTGATCTTAGACCCGCCTCCAATGCACACAGACACTCTCACCCCTAAAGGGCATGTGTTCTGTCCCCTGCAGAGATCTCTTTCCCCGCCTGGACCCCTCCCCCTGGGATCAAGAGCCAGGTGAGAGACTCCAGGGGGGGTTAATTTCCCCGCTGCTGCTCCCCCACCAGCTGAGGCTCTCTGACCCCGCATCTCCTCTCTCCCAGAGTCTCTCCCGCTTCTTTGAAAAAGTCCAGAATCTCAGCAGAGACTTCAAGTCTGCCTCGCCCCAGGACACCATCAAGGTAAGGACAGACCCAGGGGAGGGGCATGGTGACACCCCATGGAAGTCTGGGAAGCCTTGTTCTGGGAGGAGACAGACCCCAACACAATGGTGCTGGGCTCTGAGGCCCCGCCCCTCCCAGTGTCGGGGGGAAGAGCAGACATGCAGGATTGGTACTCACCGTTAGGTCCTCATACACCTACTTCCACCTTTGCTCTTCTTCCTGGCTATTGGGTTGACACTGTCCTCGGCACTTATGGACAAGGTTGACCTCTGAATGGCTGCGTTGCACTGGCAAAGACAGGGAATCTGATCTGGTCTCACCTTATCCCCAGATAAACAGTCTGTAGGGTCCGTTCCCTGTGGGTGAGTGGGCAGGGGCTTCTTGAAGTTTCTCTGATGGGACATCCACTGGTTGTGTGTCCCTGTCCCTCCAGCACATCATACAGGGGGTGGATGAGCTGCTGGAGAAACCAGGCGACTTGGGTACCTTGTCCCGGTCAGAGCAGCACTATGTGGCCACTAACCTGCTCAGTGGCCGGGAGGACGTCTTGAGAAAGCTGAGCAAGATGCTGCCCAATGAGCCATGGAGCTTCAGCAGGGCTGCGGGAACAGGGAAGTAGTGGGGTCTGCCCCAAGTCCGCCCCAGGCCCCGCCCCAGGCTCCGCCCGCCTGCCCCCGCCCCACTCCCGTGGCCAGCGCTGGGAGGTCACGCTCGCATCTGCTCGTTACTCTCATAAACACGGTAAAATGAAAGGTTAGAAAGGAAATGAAAAAAATTGTCAACTGTACACATTTTTATTGTTATATAAATAATCAGTAGAAGAAATAATCATAATGAATAATGTAAGAAAAAATAGACGACCCTTTCTCTTTTTTAACCCATTATGAATCCTTGTGTATCTTTTGGGTAGAAATGCTCATTTGAGTCCTTTGCCTGTTTTTAAATTGGGTTGTCTCCCTGTTGTCGAGTTGTAGTTGTTCTTATATATTTGACAGCAGACCCCTATGAGAAATGTGATTTGCAAATACGTTGTCCCATTCCATAGATTCTTTTCACTGTCTTCATTGTCTGTTCACTATGCGTTAAATTTCTATAAGATCTATTTTATTTAGTTATTTTCTTTGTCGTTTGTGTACTTTGTGTCATATGTAAGAGTCAATTTCCAAAATCCAGGGCCATGAAGATTTACTTCTGTGTTTTCTACTAATTGTTGTAGTTTTAGCTCTTAAGTGCAGGTCTTTGGCCCATGTTGAGCCAATTTTTGTTACTGCGTGAGGGACCCTGCCAATGGGTCCCTCTCCCTTTCGTTGCTTGTGCATAGCCAGGTGCTCCAGCACCCTTTACCGAGAGACTATTCTTTCCCTCCCTGAAGGGTTCTGTTGAAAATCCGCTGACCATTCATAAAAGGCTTTATTTCTGGCCTCACAATTTTATTTTGTTGGTGTAAATGTCTGTCCCTACGTCAGCACCGTATGTACTGCCCTGGTTACTGTAGGTTAGTAATAAGTTTTGAAATTAGGAAGTGTGAATCCTCCAATTGTGTTTTCCACTTTCAGTATTGTTTGGGTGTCGGCGCCTCTTGCAATACCGTGTGAATTTTAGGATGAGCTTTTCCATTTTTGCAGAAAAAATGTTGTTGGTGTATTGTTAGTATTGCACTGAATCTGTAAATCACTTTTGGGAATATTGCCATGTTTAAAACATTAAGACTTCTAATCCGTAATCACAGGATGACTTTTTGTTATTTAGGGTTTTAAAATTTTTTAAGCAATATTTTATAGTTTTTAGTGTGGAAGTCTTGAGCCTCCTTGGAGAAATTTATTCCTGATATTTTGTTGAAGATTTTTGCATCTGTGTTCATAGGAGTTATTGGTCTGTAATTTCCTTTCCTTTCGATGGCTTTCTCTGGTTTAGTTTTTAGAGTAATTGTGACCTCATAGAATTATTTAATTCCCTTTTCTTATGATTGTACAAAGACTTTGCGTTAATTTTCCCTTCAGGGGTGAGTAGAATTTAGGTCTGGACTTTTCACTGAAAGGAGTTTTGACTACTGGTTCAATGTCCTTACTTGTGCTAGGTCTGTGCAGACTCTGTGTTTCTTCTTCAGGTACTTCTGCAGTTTGTGGGTCTGCAGGAATTTGTCCCTTTCGGTCAGGTTATATAATTTGTTGTTGAGTAATTGCTCATAGCTTCTCTTATAATCCTTTCTCAGTTCAGATGATTGATACATATATATCATTATTATGTACACCAAATATGTGTCTTTTCCATATGGCATCATTTGGTATACACATAATAATATTACAGATAATTGTTGGTATATATTATAATATATATATGGATACATAAAACTGTTTTTATAGCAAAAACTGCTGGAAGAAGTACTAATGTAACTCCCACAACTCACAGAACTGTCCCTGGAGGTGAAGGAGCGAGGACAAAGGAATGTCAGCTTGAGTGTCAATCAGGCAAAGATGCTGCTGAGCTGGGATATGGTGCAGGGACCTGGTGACTCAGGTAATGGCTGAGACGGGGAGGAGGTCACTGAGGCTTCTCAGTGGGACGAGATGCCCAAGGATGGGGCAAATGGAAAATTAAACTATAAAGGGAAGTGAGGGGTACGGTGGGTCCACAAGGAAAGAGTCTACCTGAGGAAGAAGGGGTCCTGTTGGGCACCCCAGGATGTCATCCTTAACCTTGTCCTGCAGGCCCTTCTGTGGTGGGCCTCATCTCTACTCCAGGGATGGGCAGCTTGCTGGCTGGGGCCCCCCTCGTCCTGGAGACTGAGGGGCAGGCAGTTCCGCGTGAGACCCACAGGGGCTTGCTGCAGGGGGTCCCCCCCGTCCTGCTCTCAGATGTCATCTCCGTCTTTGTGAGCAACAAGCACACCCAGAACCTCAGCTCCCCAGTCAGCTTTGTCTTCCAGCACGTGAGTCCTGCGGGTGGGGCTGTGGGGGTGGAAGGGGCCTGAGTCTTGTGCACAGTCTTGGGTTCAGGGGCCTCCCCCGTGGGTGCATCACCTCCTCAAGAAAGCCCTTCACAAGTGAGATCTGGGTCCGCATTTCTGGGCACCAGAACCACCAGTTCTCATCTGTGCCCTGTTCCCACAGTCGGAGACCCCTGGGCCAAGGCAGCAGGTGCTCTGTGTGTTCTGGGAGCATGGCCAGAATGGGAGTGGCCACTGGGCCACCGAAGGCTGCAGGATGGTGGGCAGCAGCGGCACCAGCACCACCTGCCAATGCACCCACCTCAGCAGCTTTGCCGTCCTCCTGGCCCTGTACGATGCGCAGGTGAGAGCCTTGAGAGGGGACTTTGTTTGTTGTCTATTGCTGTGTAACACATTTCCATGCGTGTGGCACCTTAAAAACACACACAAGTTTGCTATCTTTCAGTTACTTCAGGTCAGCAATCTGGCTGGTGTAGCTGAGTTTTCCTCTCAGGGTCTAAGAAGGCTGGAATAAGTGCAGTCTTACCTGAGGCTTGGAGTCCTCTTCTAAGCTCCCTGGTGGCTGGCAGATTTCAGTTCCCTGTGGTTGTAGGACTGAGGTCTTGCTTTCTTGCTAGCTGACAGCTGGCATCACATGCAGCAACTCGGGGCCACCTGCCTTCCTTCTTATGTGACCCTGTCACAATGTATCTGTGCTGTTACCTGGAGGACAGCAGGAGAAGCTCCCTCACACCCAAATGTTCTCCAGCAAAAGCCCAGTTCTTTTATGGGCTCGGCTAATTCGGGGAAGCCCAACCAGTATAAACTTCCTCCCCTAAAGTCAACTGTTGTAAGACTTGGATTCCAGCTGCAAAATTCCTTCCCAGCAACACCTAGAGCGGCATTTGGTTGAAAGCCTGACTGAAAATGTGGGCACCCCAGGGGGTGGCGACATGGTTGCCTAATTAGAATTCTGCTTCCCAGAGGGGTCTTTAGGACAGGGGCTCTCAGGGGCTGCGCAAAGGAAGATTCGGTGATGGCAGAGGTCAGAGGGGGCCAGGAGCCAGGGAGCGCAGGTGGGTCAGGAGTCACAGTTGCATTGTCTGCCGGCCAGGCGAGCTGGGTGCTTCTGGGTCGCCAAACCAGAGACGCACCCGGCTGACCTCCAGTGCAAAGTACTGAGTGTGAGCTCCAACCTGAAAATGAGAGAGAGCAGGATCATAGGCAGTGGTCAGGAGCCCTTAGGAGTGTGAACAATACTCAAGGCCACGTGTTCTCCTGCCACTTCACAACATGATTCAGCATTCACACTTTCCTTTATAGCCATGCCCAGAATCTAAAGGAAAATAAATTCTGTGAATTCCAAGGCTTGGGCTTGAGTGAGGGCTCTCCATTATCTCAATTTTTCCAGAGTCTGAATTAATAGGTTCAGTACCCAGAAAATTCTCAGAGTATCCATAAATATCACAAATTTACTTGGTTCCACCTCTATTGCTAACTTCGTTGTAGCTCTTCACTGCCCCCACACAAATATAAAAGTGGTGGAAGGCCCATTACCCCAGAGCAGGAGTGTGTGACCGTCGTCTCCTCCTTGCTGGTCCCAGGAGGAGGATGCCGCCCTGGCTGTGATCACCCAGGTGGGGCTGAGCCTCTCCCTGCTGTGCCTCCTCCTGGCGGCCCTCACCTTCCTGCTGTGCAAAGCCATCCAGAGCACCAGCACCTCCCTCCACCTGCAGCTCTGCATCTGCCTCTTCCTGGCGCACCTGCTCTTCCTCACGGCCATCGACAGAACCGAGCATAAGGTACTGACGCCGCCCCGGAGGACCATCTGACCATCAGTCCAGGAAAGGCTGAGCTCATGGAGCCATGCTGCATTGGGCCCCCTAATAAAATGTCCTTGGGTTCTGGGAAGGTTAGAGGGGTGAGAGGCCAATTTCATATTGACTGGCCCAACTAGAGGCCACACTCTCTTTGGACATTCCCTTCATAGACACCAGAGTTCTCCCCAGTAGCAAGGCTTGGGAGAGGTCCTGGGGCCATGCTCCTCCCTAAGTATCCCACCTGGTGACTCTAACTTCTCCCCCAGGTGCTGTGCGCCATTGTCGCAGGTGCCTTGCACTACCTCTACCTGGCCGCCTTCACCTGGTTGCTGCTGGAGGGCCTGCACCTCTTCCTCACCACACGCAACCTGATGGTGGTCAACTACTCCAGCGTGAGCAGGTTCATGAAGAAGTTCATGTTCCCTGTGGGCTACGGAGTCCCGGCTGTGATTGTGGCCATTTCTGCAGCTTCCAGGCCTCACCTTTATGGAACAGCTGCCCGGTAAGGGCACATTCCGACTTCTTCGTCTTCCTCACCATGTCTATGGCCTTTGTAATACCAACATAGCATTTGATTATGCCAGGTCATGTTAATAGAGGCAAGTGATAACCCTTAGCGCATCTTTTAAAATAGTTAAGGAAAATGTCTTTAAACCTCTCCTTGAAATAACAAAGGTATAATCTAAAAAAGTGCCTTTGACATTATTAGAAGCATTTAACCTTCCTTTTTATCTACATCTTATAGGATATTCCACTTTCGTATTTGGAAGAGTAGAGCTGTTTTAAGTCCTCTAAAGAACAGACTGTATTATAGTTGAGATTTGCATGGTGCTTATCTGTGCCAGGCACTTTTCTTCTTGTTTTTATATAAGTTAACACAATTCATCCTCACACCAGTACTGTAAAGTAGACACCGCAATTGGACCCACTTTACAGATAAGTAAATTGAGGCACAGTGTATAAAGGAAATGCCCGGAGGTGAACAGCTTGCAAGTAGCAGAGCTGGGATGCAAATCCAGGGAGTCAAGCTGCAGAATCTCACTCTTTTCTTTTCAACTTTTAATGCTAGATTTAATGCTTTACTCATTTTTGAAATATATTTCAAATGCCATAAGATTCACTCCCTTAGAGAGTACAGAGCAGCGGTTTTGGCAATAATCACAGAGTGGTGCAGCCGGCACCAGAGTGAATTTTCACAACGTTTTCCACTCCCCGAAAGAAATCTCACACAATATCGTGCACTCTCCATTCCTGCCCCCCACTCCTCCGCTCCTGCCCCTGAACCAGGAATCTACAGGGAGCTGCCTATCCGGGATATTTCCTGAAAATGGAATCATGCATATCATCTTTGTGACGGATCCTTTCAATTAGCATGATGTGTTCGCGGTTCATCCTGTTGTATCAAGTATCATGACATCTTCTTTGTTGTTTTTGTGGCTGGTGTTGTTTGTAAATAACATCCCATTACATAGATACTCCACATTTTTTAAAATCATCCACCAGTTGGAAGACATTTGGATATTTCCATATTTTATGACTATGAAAGATGCCACTATAAACATACTTGCCCAAGTTTAAATTTTTAAAATAATTAAGTTTATTGTAGTGATACTGTTTAACAATATATACATTTCAAGTGCACGGTTCTCTAATACATCAGCTGTTTACTGTGTTGTGTGTTTACCTCCCAAATTCAAGTCTTCTTCCATCACCATATATTTGACCCTCTTCACCCTTACTACCTCTTCCCATCCCCTGTTCTCGTAATGACCATAGTATTGTCTGTGTCCATGAATTGAATGTGTCCTTGTTGGTTTGCTTGTCTTGTTTGGTGTTTTGTGGCTTTCAGTTTTGTATTCTACATATGAGTGAAATCCTATGGTTCTTGACGTTTTCTTTCTGAAGTATTTCGCTTAGCATGGTATTCTGAAGATCCTTCTATGCTGACGCAAGGACAGTACTTCATCTTTTGTTAGGGTTGAGTAGTGTTCCATTGTATGTCAGTACCACATCTTTATCCAGCCATGTACCAAAGGGCACTTTGGTTGTTTCCACATCTTGGCCACCGTGAGTAATGCTGCAATGAACATAGCGATGCATATACCTTTGCGAATAAATGTTTTCAAATTTTGGGGGCAGATACCCAACAGCAGCTTACTGAGTGGGAGAAGGTGTTTGCAAACAATACCTCTGATAAGGGCTTACTATAAAAAATATATTAAGAACTCTTACAACTCAACAACAACACAAAAGCAAACAATCCAATTGAACAAAAGGGGAGAGCACCTAGACACTTCTCACAAGAAGACATATGAATGGCCAACATATATAAAAAGATGCTCAACTTCTTCAGCCATTAGGAAAATGAAAATCAAGAAGATCAAAATGAGATGTCACTTCAGAGCAGTTAGGTTATATGGTTAAAATAGAAAGAGAGACGATAAAAAGCATTTGCAAGGATGTAGAAAATCTTGAACCCTTACACAATGCTGGTTGGAAGGTAAAATAGTGCAGCCACTTTGGAGAATGGTTTGATAGCTTCTCAGACGTCGCACACACTAGCTACCATGTGACCCAGCTATTCCAATCCTAGGTACATACCCAGAAGAAATGAGAACACGTCTACAAAAAAACTTGTACGTGAAAACTCACAGCTGCATTATTCAAAATAGCCCCAAATTGGAAACACACTCAATGTCCACTAATTGGTGAATGGATAAAAGAATGACATATCTGTACAATAAAATATTATTTAGTCATTAAAAGGAATTAAAAATTTTATTCAGCCCTAAAAGCATGCTGCAACATGGTGAACCTTGACTGAAAAACATTTAGGTAGGTTACAGAATCTAGTCATAAAGAACCACATATTGTATGATTCCATTTATGTCCAGAACAGGCAGGTCCACGGAGGCAGGAAGTAGATCAATGGGCCGTGGGGCTGTGGTGGGCAGTGAGGTGCACGGAAGCAGGACGGAGGACCAACTGCTAACGTCAATCTTCTGAGGAGCAGAAAAGCATTCTAAAGGGAGATGTGATGATCGCACTACTCTGAGAGTATTTTAAAGGTCACTGAACTGTACAGCTAAATGGGTGAAATTTATGGTATGTGAAATACATCTGAGAAAAGCCATAATTAAAAAAAAATCCAGCAGATGGGTTTTACAGCAGATGAAAATAATTACATTGACTAGGGCAGGAATGACCGTTAAAGTCACGGTAGATTCCCAGGACTCTGAAAACTGTTCACACACCCACAGACTCCTCCTGTGCTTCAACACCATCTCAGTAACATCAACCCATTGCTCCAGTCTCAGCTCAGATGTAATTTCCGTACGGATGCTTCCCTGACCATGCTGATTTCCTAGACCCTAAACTAAGCATGACATCCAATGAAACTTTCTCTTAGCCACCCATTTTTGTTTTGCTGGGCAGTGTGTCTGATTGTGCGCCTCCTGCCTGATGTGAGTTGTGTGGGACTTAAGACCACGTTTACTTTCTTCATGACTGAATCTTCAGAGCCCAACACGGAGCCTAATACAGAGGAGACACTCAGTAATTGTTGACAAATGAACCAGTGAATGGATTTACATAATTGTTCCATGTTTCACATGACCAATGCATTGTTCTCCTTTTTGCGCTCTAGAGTGTTTTTTCTTTTTTATTAAGTTACGTTATAATTTAAGCATCTTATTGTTTATGCTGTTACAGTTGTCCCAGTTTTCTCCCTTTGCCCCCCTCTACACGGCCCTCCCCCGACTCCCACAGTCTATCCTCACACCGTTGTCCGTGTCCGCGGGGCCTTCATGTGTGTTCTTTCCTAATCCCTTCACCGTCTTTCGCCCAGTCCCCACCTCCCCCGTCCCTCTGACAGCTGTCAGTCTTTTCCATGTACCTATGTCTCTGGTTCTATTTTGCTCATTAGTTTATTTTGTTCATTAGTGTCCACTTCGGAGTGAGATCACATGATATTGACCAATGCATTTTTTTATTCCCTCTCTCTCTCTCAGCTGCTGGCTCCACCCAGGAAAGGGATTTCGATGGGGCTTCCTTGGACCCGTCTGCGCCATCATCTCTGTGCGTGAGGCCGTCGGAGCATCCCTTAACGCTCAGCTGAGGGTCATCATAGGAGCAGAATTACCAGGGTGTTGGGAGGGGGGAATGACTGGAGCAGGAATTTCCCTGGGTTCTGATGGGTTTGCTTTGGTTTTCTAAGGCTGCTCCTAAAACTGCTAACTCTGACACTGTTACTACATGCGAAACCTACTAAAGTGAGGAATTGCTGTTGGACAGGTCCGGCTAGAGACAACAAGTTAAAGTTGTACTCACCGTTCTGTTGTTCCCGAAGGTCAATCTAGCTTTCTTTCTGATGACGCTCTGCATTTTGAAAAGCAAACTCTCTTCCCTCAACACTGAGGTGTCCACCCTGCAGAATACAAGGTAAGCTGGAGAAGAGGGTGACGTCCCCAGAGTCTCGTGTGGTCCCAATAGCAAGTCTGTGTGTTTCAGCAGCCCCTGAGGTCCTTCCTCCGGGGCTCCGGAGGGAACCCGGTGTAGAAAGACGCGTGGATCCTCCTTGGCCGCCAGCCCGGATTCAGTGGTGTGCGGCCGACTCCCGGGCCAGAGTGCTCGTCTCTAACCCCAGCTTGTCACTCCCTCAGCAGCAGGAAGAACTGATGGTGGTTGATAAACATTCTTTGGACTTTTGTCAGCAGTCCTATGACCAAAGTACAAAGGACCTGCATGCACTTGGGAACATCTGAGTCTCCTCCCACCACCCAGCCCACACTTCCATACCCCTGTCAGTTCAGGCTCCTCCTCAGCCCCTGCATTTCTCTGTCTGGAAAAAAATTCTATTGCAGGAGGTGTAGGCAGTGCCTTGTTCCAGGAACTCCTGTGCAAATTCAATACTGTTTCTCGTAGGTCCCTATCAGTATCCTCTCTAAGTTTTGCACGACAGTATTTGGTTGTATTGGGGATTTGGACAGCCTGTGAGCTTTGTGAAATAGGATCCTGCCTCTGTTACTTTCACCGCCCAGGCCCCAGCACAGAGCCTGCCTGACGCACAGGACAGCCTCAGCAACGTTGGTTTAATAAAACGGTTGAGCCTTATAGAGTTTTGGAAACCTACATTATGTAGAGTGACAACCCTACTCAATCCAGTCTAAATGCCATCTAGTACCAGAACGACATTTCTATTGCGGGGAGTCATTGACAGGAAAGGTCAGAGCTGAACACAGCTCAGTCTGTGAACCCATCACCAACGGGGGCAGGCGGGCAGGAGCATCCGTGGGGTGGAGATGAGAGGGGCCTTGATTCTGTTGCTCTGGGTGCACCACGGGCCTCCCTTCTCCTCCTCCCCAGGATGCTGACGTTTAAAGCAATGGCCCAGCTCTTCATCCTGGGCTGCACGTGGTGTCTGGGAGTCCTGCAGGTGGGCCCAGCTGCCCGCGCCATGGCCTATCTCTTCACCATCATCAACAGCCTGCAGGGCGTCTTCATCTTCCTGGTGTACTGCCTCCTCAGCCAGCAGGTACCACAGTCCGACCCCCACCCACACCCTTTCCGTTCTCACTGCTCTCAGTGAGCTGACTCAGGGCGTGCTTTGCCTCTGCAGGTCCGGGAGCAATACAGGAAATGGTTGGGAGGGATCAGGAAAGCCAAAGCGGACTCTGAGAAGTACACCCTCTCCAGCAGGGCCACGTCTGAAGCTTCCAGGCCCAGCACGGTAAGGTCACGCCTTGTTCCCGGAGCCTGTGGCTAACAGATCCAGTAGGGTCGCTCGTGCCCATCACACGGGACACCCTGGGTATATAGCAGGGGCTGTCCTATCATGGCTCCCACGGGCTTTACTCTTTGACTCTTTGACTTTAACCATTAGCACATGTCTTAGTTAAAAAATACATATTTTTCTCTCATTTCTTAGGAACTGTGTTCACCTTGACTTTCCCATATCAGCACTCTTATAGAGCACCCGCCCTGTGCAATGCATAGTGAACTAAAGGAACGAGATCAATCATCTGAAGCAGGGACGCACGTTCCATTCTGAGAGCCACCTTATCTTGTCCTTCATCCTCCTTTATCTCATGGTCACTCAGCACCACCCAACAAAAAGGCAAAGATGGAGAAAATGGTGTACATATTTAAGAATTAAGCAGAAATAAATGTTAGTTGTCATTTCAGATTTTCTTAGTAAGACTACCCAATTCTTTTCAGCACCCGCCACGCACTGCAGAACCAGGAGGGAGAAGCCATCAGGGCATGGGAAAATTCCTGGCAGTGATTACTAACAACCACCACTGGTTTAGATTTAAGTAGTTCTATTATTATTAAAAATGTTTTTTACACATGGAACGTTCTTTTACTTACACTTTTCACCACTTCTTCCATCTCCCATTGAACTTGTTGAGTCTTCTTCCCGATTTAAATGGGCTTGTTACGCTACCAGGCAGTGTTGCGTTTCTCTCAACGTTCAAATCCTCCACGAGCACTGGTTTCAGAGTTGAATCTTCTATTTCCTGTCCCTCTCTCAGCAAATACTCTCACCACCTGTTCCACAGAGAAAGTCCAAGTCACCACGATGGCTGTGAACTGCACGCTCTCACCGCACCGCGCACACGTTAGTGTGCAGCCTCCCCACGTTGCCGTGTCGTCACCTCTATTTCCCTTCCCTGGAGACCGCGCTTCCACCTGCGCTTAAACCTCATCATTCATGCTTCATCATTGTCCTTCCGTTATTGTTCACACATTCTCTCTCTCTCCTCCTTGCTTCCATTTCTCCCTCCATTTCCTCCTCCATCTTCTGAAAAGTTTTCTTCCCTGTGTTGTGGAAACATATTTGGTTCTTTTCTATCTCTCAGTCATGGACCGATCGGCCTGCCATTCCCTTCGAGCTCCTTACCAGCCAAGAGTTGCCTTTTCTCTGTCTCTATTTTCTTGCTTTAAATTTACTCTCTCAGCTGATGGGCATATGGCTTCTCTCCCCCATCATTCCACCCAAACAAGTATCTCTTAGGTTTACAATGATCTCCATGTCATTAAATGGCCTCCCAGAAACTCCTAAAAGTATTTATCAGTGTTTTCTCATGAAACACACCGTCCTGATCCTGTCTGGATTCTATTTGCTTGCCCCTCCTCCGTGTCTTTCCTCTTTTTTTCTTTCTTTCCTCCATTCCTTCATCCTTGGATTGGTTCCAGAACAACTTCAGTTCTCATTAAATTTTTTCTTGCTAGGCAATAGCATTCATTCCTTAGATTCAATCACCATAGAGATGCAAATGATGGCCACATATGCTTCTCTAGCTCTGACTTCTCTTCTGAGGACCGGAAGAGCATTCCCAGCTACTTACGTGACATCACTGATGTCCCCAGGCCACCTTGACTGAGCCTTCCAATATGAGACTCAGGGTCTTACCCTACTCCTGTCCTCTCCGCGGTGCCTTTCTCTGAACGGTACTGCATCCATCGTGCGGCAGAAATATGGAACCTGAAAGTTACTCTCAATTATTCTCACTACTACCAATCCATTATACAATCATACAGTCCTGTTGTTGGTATCTTCTCAGTACGTCCCCATTGCCGTACGTTGCTGGCTCAATCTCCATTACCCCTGGCCCCGGAGCCAGGCTGCCGTCTTCACCTGCCCGAACCGCCGCAACATCCCCCTGACTGACCACCCCTTTCCACTCTCATCGCCTCCCAGCGCCTCTCTCCACAGAAGTCAGACGGATCTCTTCAAAACAGAAAACACGAATCACGTCATCCTGTGTTAAACCTGTTACATGTGCTTTCTCTTGTGTATAGTTCTGAATTATTTCCTGAAGCACAACATTTATAAACTTGTTGAATAGAGAGAGGCATGTGACTGTGCCCATCCCAGTAGCAATTACACCGAACTTCCTCTAACCTACGAATAAATAACTCATACTGGTGATGGAAAGAATCAGGGAAAAACAGAAGAATCCAATGCTGCCGCTTTTATGTCCTCGGTAGTGGACAATAGATAACATGTCTGACCTTTCCTTAATTTCCCACCTGCCCTCTTTTATGACTCCAAACATAAAGTACCATTTCAGAAACTGTGAAGCAGAGGGGTCACTACATGCCATTTGAAAGGGAGAGACCGTGTTTTGTAGCACATTTAGTTGTTCTATCCCCTGTAACTTGGGGTTTAGAAAACATAGGGAGGTGAAAGTCCTGAGGACGCCGAGGTCTAGCAAAATACAAGTGATACGGCCTTTTCTTACCCTGAGCAATCCATCTGGCAAGGGAATTTTGTGATTAAAAGTTGCTTAAATTTCCATTTCTTATTTCTTTCATCAGAGAAAACTTTCAAGCTGTCTTTCCATAGTCTTATATTTTGTTTCTATAATATTCTCTTTCCAGGTTAATTAAGAAGATCTTTGACTATCATCCTCTTATCCCATGGAAACTCTGAATGGTCGTTCTTTGAGCCATTGAGAGATGATAGAAAGATTTTGTAGCGTGTTTCAAGAAATTCGCCATATCAGTAAAGCGAAAGAAGTCATGTTGGACATGCTCGAAAGTCAATTCCTGCGAAATATGGAATTGTTCTGTGCCCTACAGTGTACCTGGAAAACTTGGCATGTAAAATGCCCATGGCGGCCTAATTCCTTGGTAACTTTGAGTTAAGTTACTGCAAGGCTTCTCCTTTCCACGAAGGCTCTTCCAGAGACTGCAAGTCTATGAGCAGGAAAACCAGCCTTGAAAGATTTTCTTGCCAACAACATGAAAAGGAATGAAAAGAATCCACCAGTGTCTGGATTTCTTAATTTCTTTGTTCAGTATTTCTATGAGTTTAATTGTTTACTCATTCAAAACTATTATTTACTTACCATGTCTAAGGCAGAGATCAAGAGGGACCCGGGTCCTGCCTTCTTGGAGCTCTCAAAGGGAAGTAAAGTAGTTTCTGCAGCCAGAGTTGCCTCAGGGGAGGAAGGTTTCTGCCCCTGAGCCATAGCTGCTTCAGCCGTGGCGCAGACACGGTGTCTCATCCTCGCGGCAGAATGCAGACAGTTCGCAAACTCAGGTCGTGGCGTGTACCTTTTGGGCTCGTGGGCCAGTGAGTGAGTTTATTATGATTTTCCAGAGAAATATAATTAATAGAGTTCTTAGTTATTGACTATAATCCTATTGTTTGTATTTTTAAGCTAAGAGAAAAGGGTTCACACATATTTAGATTTTTGAAATTTTTCTTTTCGTCTCTTGTAATGAACTTATGTAATCTCAGTGATTCTCATTTCCCAAGGACAGCGCTGGCGTACGCTTACTCTCCTGAGAAGTTATTAACAGTGGCCTCTCTCACTCTCAAACATGTTCTTTAGATGTCAAATCAGGTGATGACTCCTCAAGTAACACATTTTTTACTTAAAATGATCTTATTTTCAAACATTATTTGGTATAGCAAATTTGGTTTGTTATAATCTTTTTCCTTTTTAATTTTTAATGTTACGCCACCCTTTCAGGAAATTCTCGTGTAGCTACGTCATCGTCTCGTATTTTCTTCCTCTTATTCCCAAAATGTCTGTATTTAGTACGTTTAGTTCATTTTCACTTGTCTGTTCATTGGTATATTTCGATGGCTTTAAAGCGTCTTCCTTTTTGTTCCCTGTCCTGCATTTGCTCTGTTTATTTTTACTGTTCCTTTGGATATACCAAGAGTTGCTGAGTTTCTTCTTTAAAATGGGATTTTACATTCAATGGCTGCCCCTTAAGTATAATAGTTACCTGTCATTGTTTTAAAACATTGCCATGTAACTTCCAAAGGCAGCAGTAACCTCTGTGACAGCCTATCCCCTAAGCGATCTGGGAATATATTAACTTGAAACTCCTCCTTCCATACAAGTTATTTCTGTCCGGTGGTATGTTTACACATTTTTATTAAAACTCCCTAAATCAGTCATTGTAAAGAGCCTCGTCTTGTTCAGCCTTTCTGTTGAGGCTTAAACACATATTAACGCTTTCTCTGAAGACCAGTCTGTGTTGAGTGTCATTAGAACCCCTGAAATCGATTACTTTCTTCCTGGAGTTTATTGTTTAGATGCCCCAGAGGGAATTTGTTAGCAGTAAAGGTGCTTAGATTTTGTTCATTTGAAAATGACTGCTTTTCTCCATTATTTTTTTTTACACTTGGCTTTGCCAGTTATGAGTAAATACCCTCTTTTGTCTTAGAAAATAAATTAGATTTCTATCACATAAAATTGAGAAAATACTGAATACCACAAATGGTTTGAAGGTTTATTTGTTTTTATTTGGCTGATCCTCCCTCCGTTTCTGTTGGTTCTATTGGTTCTTTTCATTAATCCGTCTAAATGAGAAGATTTCGTAGAAGATGTTGATACAGATGCTAATGGAAGTGGAGAAGTTTCGCAATCTGCTATCTGCAAGCTGGAAGCCCAGGAACACGATGGTGCAGTTCAAAGGCCTGAGAGACAGAGCAAATGGTATATATTCCAGTCTGGGATCTTGAGCGCCAGGGGCACCGAGGGCAGAAGACAGGTCATCAGCCTGGCTCCCCTTTTGCAATTCTGTTTCGGTCCTCGACAGAGTGGATAAGCGCATCCGCGTTGGAGAGGGCACGTGCTTTACTCAGTTCAGCAAATGCCAATCTCTTTTCTTCTGGAAACATCCTCACATAGATCCCCAAATCATGTTTCACCAGCTGCCTGCGCATCCTGTGACCCAGTCAAGTTAAGAAATAAAATTAAC